GTGGATATGGATATGACAATGACACACACGACAGGGACATGAGAAGGCATATATTTGGAGGCCTTAAGTAAAAAATCCATATTGTACAGAGTTAACACAGAAGACAACATTCTGTCCGCTGGAGGACTGCAGTGCATGATGCTTGGATAAATCAGGCATTTTTAAAAGACTTACCTGCGTACAAAACCCCAGCACAGTCCCTTTGCACTAGCAGTCATACTGTACAGGCAACAAAGTGGAAATTAACAGGTTAAAAGTGACTTTCTGGAGGTCACAAAGAAAATACCAGCAACAGCCAAGCCATTCTTGCTGTGAAATCCCATGTTTGAGCCACAGCCCCATCGTTATTTCCACTTTTCAATTTTTTTATCCAGTCAGGACAGAGAAGTACAAATCATAACTCTTCTATTTTACTAACTAAGCAATAAAAAGCCTATTACTGGAAAAATATTTTTTTGTTTTTCAATTATACATTAATAAATGTAAATATATATATAAAAGATGCTACAGGCATATATTCTGAGCACATGCCTGCTATTTACTACTACGGGATTAAAGTAAATGTGCTGAAAAGGGAAAAATATATTCTACGTATTTGACTGCTCTAAAATCAGAGATTATTTTATTGGGCTGTCAACCCAGAGCGCTGTGAGCACCACACAGCCCAATTATCTTCAAAACCAAAACACAGTTCCCTACCCAGGCACAGGATAAAGCAAACCTCAGCAACAGCAGTAGTGCCGTTTTTTTTTTTTTTCCCCCTTTTTTTTTTTCCTCCTTTTTTCCTTATGCCCACTCAGCACTATTTTGGACACAGGGCTATTAAACATGATGGAAGGGGGATTACATCACACCTCAGCTACTCCAGTGAGGTCAATGTCAGCTGCCTTTGCAATTGTACTGCCTTTATTACGAACCAAACTGAACTTGAACTAATTTACACAGGCAGATCTGACAGCAATTACTTGTGGTGACCAGACCCTGTGCAGGGTCTCACAGCCTAGAAGGGAGAGTTTGTGTCTGATCATCACTGGCCCTCACATTCACTGTCAGCATCTGAATAAGGGTTTTAACAATGACTTCATTAATAGATATTGTATAGTTTTAGCAAAACCTAGGAACCCAAGCATGGCACAAGATCCTAATTATGTTAGATATTATACTGAGTGGCAAACCTGTGCCAGACCCTAAGGACAGAGAGGAGGAAGCATCAGGATACCAAGCTGCAGGAGAGGCAGTAATAGCTTTTGTAAAGCTCCTTGTCAGCCTCAGGTTGTCAAGAGTGCCAGTGATAGACTGAGTGGGGTTAAAAAGAAAAACAACCTAGAAGAAGTGGTTACGAGCAGAAAGATACAAAAAAGCATAAGCTTTCACCTCTGCAGCTAATTGATCACAGATGAAGATCAAGTTCACTTAGTCTATTATTACCCTGTGGTTACTTAACAGTTATATCACATCTCTCCAGGGACTGGGAAGCAAATTCAGCAATCCCCAGCAGGCTGGCTACATCAGCCACATTTATACTAAAGGTTCTTCTAGGTTTTAGATAAAAAAGGTTCATTTTCTGTCATTTAAGTTATGCTACTTGTGTTATTTCTCTCATGCAATATTTGTATTATCTAGTTTTAAATCAACTTGCATTATTCCATCATTAATATTTCCAGCAAAGTGAATTATTTTTTTAAATAGTTCATTTTTCTGAACTAGCTCCTTGGCCTTTTTTTTTTTTTGGTTCCCACCCTACATCTAGTAGTCAACATGAAAGCAAGCCGCTTGACATTGTTGTCCATTTTATTATCCTCAAGAACCTAGGCAGCCAGTTCCTGTACAAAAGAATGTATTACTTACAGCATCAAAATCAAGTACATAGTCAGAACTAAGAACAATTACTTAAGGACAAGAAGTAGAAGGAAACAAGTAAACCATTCCTTGTGCCGAAATATTACAGAGCATCCCTTCATCCAAAAATAAGATAGCCTCAGCAACTCAGATCCACTGTAAGGAGTCAGCTGGAATTCAATGCCTACCGCTCCCTGTTCAGTGCAATATGGTAGAGTTGGGCAGTCCGTACATTTCCCATTCTCACCTAGCAAGTACTCAAAAGTCAAATTAAGTCTGTAAGTGACCAAAACTCCCTGAGGAGCTGCAGACAACAGCTACTCAAGCAGCCGAGTGCTGGGAACCCTGCCAGCCAAGATGGCTCTGCTCTTACTCAACATGAAGCCTTCACAGAACAGCCCAAATGCCTGCAAATAGAAGCAGTATTTGGAGCAAGGTGGCGGGGCAGGGGAGGGGGGGTGCGTGGGGCAGAAATCTGTGAAAATTGAAGGGAAGGTTTTCTGAACATGCTGTATCTTACTGTGTAATCATCTCAACAGATGAATCTCTTTTACTTGCAGTGACAAGAAAGTAAAGAAATCTGCAGATACTTTTTGCATCTCATCTGGAGAACGGAGCTTAAAGAAATCCAAAATATCAACTATGAACTTATTCTAAATACTTCAGCTTATTGAAATCCCATCATCGTTTGAAATAGCACCCCCAAAAAGAGAAAAAAAAAAAATCACACATTTGTAATTCTCCACCAAAATAATCGCACTACAAACACTCACTGTCACACAGCAGAGCTCAAATGACAAATGATTTTGAAATAGATGTCTTGAAGTGTTGAGATAAGGCAGAAGAGAGTAGAAAAGCATCCAGCTGAGGTCTCAGGGTCACAGGGCAGATTCTGGAGATGTCCAAATGGAAGCTGCATCAAAGCGGTAGCTGAACTGGAGCTAGTTCGCATCCCAGTACTTCAGAGTAGAGATGTAGCACTTAGCTGTCCATACGAGTCCATGTATCAAAAACACTTGTCACACCAGGGTCCTTCCAGTCAGTGGTTTATTTCACACCTTCATTTTATTTTAAGGCCTCCCAGCAGAACTAGCCTGGCCTCATGGGAGCTGTGCAGCTGTGACAGAGCTATGCAGCTGTATCCTCAGTGGTCCTGCCCCAGTCCACACCAGGCACAAGAGATCAGAGTTTCTGGCATGTCACAGTTTAACACGTTGCAGGACCTTATTCTCCAGATCTTCTCTTCTGCAGCCAAATTAGAGATGTTTATCTTAATCAGGGCAGGTTTAAACTAAAAAAGAAAAAAAAAATCCTTAAATACTACATATTTCAGATTTCTTTGTTAAGTACACACAAATTTGAAGATTCAGGCAAAATATTGTTTGTCAAAGTTTAATAGAAACCGAAATAGAAAACCAGCTAAACTGGTCAGCCTAGCCTTATAAAACCAACAGTGAGTCTTCTAGAGTCTGCAGCAGAGAGCTCCCTAGTTCTGCTACTCACTCCATGAAGAATTGCCTTCTTTTTGCTTTGAAAGTGGTTCTCACAAGCTTGACACTTTGCATTTTTTATGGGAAAGAACAGCAAACGATCTCCATTCACCAGTTCTGTGCCACTCCATATTTTATAGCCCTCCATATAGATCTCCAAAAGCTTGATGGCAGTAACCACGTTTTGCATATTCTACAGACAAGTTGAGCTATCAGCTTGCCACAAGTCACTTGCAAGCAAATACATCAAAACTTCGCAAGTGCCAAAAGCATACCCTTGTCAAAAATGTTCTTTTCCTTGTTTCAATCTATTTAATCACTTCAGTTCAACCAATAGTGGCTACAAAGATCAGAAACTGATGGACGGTGAAGTGTATTTTCCTCTACCACTCTGAGTAAACATAATCTTTGAGTGGGAGAAATCATCTGTTCCAAAAATCCCAAAGGATTTGGTTCAGTTAAACTGCTTTCAAATGCAAAAGGATGCATTAAGAATTCTTCCCAGTCCAGCACATCTTGAGCTCTGTTTGTCTTAAAGACAGCTTGTATATTTGAATCGATTTTAAATTCCTCTATGTAAGTGCAACTTGTATCAAGTCAGAATATGTTCTTCACCATTCTTAAAATAAAAGCCAAGAATTTGCACAAGTATATAGGAATATATTACGCTAGCTGCCTAAATAAAGAGTTCGTGAAATAAAATGTCACCTAGATAATGTTTTGGGCAAAAGCTTCAGCTAGTTGCAAGCTAACATGCTTTAATAGTTGCTATTTAATTAGAATCTAGTTTGCTTCAAGAAAGCTACTAAAAATCTGTATATTTATAACTAAATGTAATATCTGTTATTTAAATCAAGGATTTTGCTCATTCAAACTGTGATAAAAATCACCTTTTAAGTCACTTTGATTCAAGATTAAATTCAGCCTGTAAATCAGCTCTGAGTTACTCATTACTAATGCAGACATTTCCAAAGGAAAACTCAAATAGTATTTTAATGAGAAGGTCATTACAAAATTTAGCCTCCAAGCCATAATGTGATTCATGGCACACCCCACTGGTTTTCTGCCTCTTTCCTGCCCATTAAAAACCAAGCTGTTTCAATGCGTTGGCCACAACCTTATTGAAGAGTTGGCGTCAGTTTGGATGACTTTGATGGCTTCTGCCCTGCTCCTGCATAACTGCAGGAGGGAGGGAGCCAACAAGCCTGGGTTGGCACAGTGAGCTACTGTCAGAGGATTCAAGCCCAGTTTGCAGCTGGACTGAAAAGTCCATAGAGCAGGACTATATAGCATATAGGAGGACTATAGCTATAGGAGGACTATAGCAGTGAAGTCCTATGGCAGGACTGAAAGTTAACTTGGGTGAGAGGCGAGGGAGGTTTGCCCAGGCAGAACCCCAGGCTGGTTTACTGCTGATTTTCCTGAGTGGGCACAGGGATTTCTCTATGCAGAAATCCAGTCATCCAAACCGATATACGCTGGAACATAAGGAGAGACAGTGAAGCCGGTACAGTCCAGGCAGGTCTGTGGGACAGCACAGAGGAGCACGCTGCGCCCAGGCTCAGCCTGCAAAGCGGGCAGGCTGCCAGCCTGTGCTGGAGCTCTTCACCTCCCCACCTCCCCTTGTCCGTTAGCAAAGAGCAGGTATTAAATTCAGATGTCTGTAAGATATTCTGAAACTCATTACAAAAGTTGCTCTTCACAAAGCAGAGTTTATCACACTGACTGACAGAGGCATTGGTGGCAGAGCGAGGAGGTAAGTCACTCGAAATACTCTCTTTGCATTCAAACTGTTTCTGCAGAGAAGTATTAAGCAGCAGCAATTGCCTGTCTGCAGACACCGCTTTGGCTTTTTTAAACTGGTCCTACAAGCAGCAGATGGCCCTTGGTACAGGATGGCAGAAGGACTTGCAGGCCACGCAGCCCTGGCAAGGGCTCCCGGCGGCAGTGCTCCCGCTTGCCCCTGCCACAGGCAGACGCGAACACCCTCTGCCCCCTCCTCTTCTGCACAAACCACCGGTGCTGCTTCTATTTTTCCCGCTACTGAAAAGCTCTCTCGTTCCCAAGAGGAAGGTACAGGCAGCAGAAGGAAGCCTGGCCGCTGGGCAGCCAAGCTGTACATACAAGTAGTACCAGTACCAGTTCAGAAAGGGAATCGGTTCCTTGTTCCCCTCCACACCCTGCGTACACGTATGGCCACAGAGGAGAACGCAGCCAAATGATTGCACAGTAACCCAAGAAACCCATTCAGGTTACCTCAGCTTAGAAAGAAACACCAGTGCAGAAAAGGGTGTGTAACACAGCAGAGGTCAAAAACGTTAATATGTAACCGTAAGAAGTTTTGTGAGGTAAGTACTCTGGTTCACTTTCAATTGTCTTTAATAGTTAATTGATATTACAACCAAAATCAATTTAGGGAAACAAACTGAAAGGAAGCACATAAAGAACAAAGTTATGCCTAAGTATCTCAGTCTAAACTAAAGCTTTTTTTAATCTGGTACTATTAGAGGATGCAATGGAAGCCAGCATTCATTTAACAGGTTTTACAGAGAGAAATTCTCTCAGAAATAACTGGTTTACATTTTGTTTATTAAGGAAATTCTGTGGGCACTGCCTGTACTTGGAACAGCATGCTACATGGTCCACTTTAAGGAATCAAGAATATACTTTTTAAAAGCCATTTTTAAAATTCAGCTTTACAAATTGGAAATAAATTTATTATTAAAAAAGCATAAGGCTCAATGAGTAAGTTTTTAATCCAGAACACTAATTTATTAGCAAAGGAATCTACTTCTGGTTGTGTTTGGCTATATTTTTTTTTTTCTTTGTATTGTAAGTATCCCCCAATTTCAGATAACTGGCTGAACTCAAATCAAGCACACACAAGCAGCATTATCCCATTATCTTGGTCCTCAATGCCTTTTAGAATAAGGAGAGCAGAGTGCCACATCCATTTCCACTCCAAGCCTGCTTCATCTAACTCGATGGAAAGTACAGCAGTGCTCATACTTCCACCATGGCTCTGGTAATTTCCTGTAATGGTCCGTTTTAACGTCAACATCTTTTGGACTGAGAAGGGAAGACAGCGGGGTGAAGATGATTCTTTGGCAACTCTTATGTATCAGTGGTGGAAACATCTAAGGTTTTATTATATATCATATATCCTGCATAAAATACCAAGGCTATATGGTACAAACAAAAGGTCTTAAGAAAAGTACTAAACCTACCAAAAAAGTAGAACCTCAAGACTAAATATTTGAATTGCAGAGAGAGGAAGTACTACCACCAGACACAGACCACAGCACTCTGTACACACAGACTGATAAGAGGCTTAAACATCACTGTTGGGGCACAGAAGTGTCACCCTGTGTATGTACGCAACGGCACTGTTCCTCTGCAAGCTGCTGCAGACTGGCACAGGCAGTTGAACCACGACACACAGAGACACAGGGGCACCTACACAGAGGTATTGCAAAGCTCAGGCTCCAGCTCCTGAATCCCTTTAGTACAAAGCTGCCCTACTGCACTAAATTGCTTTTTAAAGCTCTGATCCACTGTAGAAAGTTGTTAGGGACAGATACTGAGTAACTCACTAGTTACCACAAGTTTAAACTTCAGACTTTGGTAATTTAAGACTTTCTGAAATTATGGTTTACTAAATCTATATATGGAGTTCAAACTAAAAACTTCACTGCAAAGCTTTCATTTAGTCTCCTTTAAGTGTGGTTCTGGAAGGAGCTGGCAGGTCATCCTATAATGCGGAAACAGACACAGCATTTAAAGTCTTTAAAAGCCATTCAAACAGCCTGTATATTGTGAAACATGCCTAGAAGTAAAGACCTGTTCTGCTTCTAAACTAAGTTTTCCATTTCTGCAGAACTTCCAGGTCTGCTCATCGATCACCATCAGCTCCATTTTACAGTTCAACAAATCAGTTTTCTTTCACAAACCCTACAGAATCTGAATACAGACTATTTCAGCACAGTCACAACCAAATGAACTTCTATTGTTTATTTTCAGCAGATATTTGATGAGGACCTAAATCTCGCCACAGCTGATTAAAACAAGCCACCTGACTGTATCCAAACTGTTAACAGATTCAGAGTCCTGGTTTGCAAGCAAACATTTTGGTGGAACTGGTAGAAATGGTGGGCTCCCAGAAATATTTGCTAGAGACATGGAAGTGGAGCTAACAGCTTAAAAGTAGAATCCAGGTACGTGAATCTTTAAGGCTAATAACCAAGAGGAATATACTCGCTACGATATCAAACTCTTATGCTTCAGAGATTTTATTTCATTATCTGAGAGCATAAAGACTATGCTGCAGGATGTTCCAAAATGGTTAATGGTCATTGTAGCACAGGAGGCTA